GAGTGACCGAAGCTATGAACGAGATGTTAGAGAAAGACTTTGTTGCTCAGGAGGTGAAGGCCGTGCTTTTTGAGATGGCACCGTCGAAGGCCCCGGGGGTCGACGGTTTCACAGCAGGATTCTATCAACGGCACTGGGATGTCGTGGGTGAAGATGTCACCACAGCTGTACTGGGATTTCTGAATGGGGGTGAACTTCCCTTGGGTCTGAATGACACTGCAATAACACTTATCCCCAAGGTCCACAACCCCCAAAAGATCTCTCAGTTTAGACCGATTGCTCTATGCCCTGTATTGTACAAAATTGCAGTAAAAGTCGCAGCCAACAGGACTCGACTTATCCTTGACGAGGTCATAGGAGAGGAACAAAGCGCTTTCGTACCGGGCCGGCTAATCACAGATAATGTGCTGGTCGCGTACGAAACCATTCACGCTATCAGAAGAAGGAAAAAGGAAAATAACTCTTGCTGTGCGGTGAAGTTAGATATGCTCAAAGCCTATGATAGAGTCAAGTGGCACTACCTCGAGGCCATGTTGATGAGACTAGGCTTTGGAGATCGTTTCATCAGACTGGTCATGAAGTGTGTATCGTCTGTGACATTTACAATCAAGGTAAATGGAGAGCTATTACCCTACTTCTCTCCTACCAGGGGCTTAAGGCAAGGTGACCCTTGGTCGCCGTACCTTTTTCTCATATGTGCACAAGGCCTAACCTCACTCCTAAATAGCTATGGAGGGGCTTATATTGATAGAGGCATACGGGTAAGTGTTCATGCACCATGGGTTAATCATCTACTCTTTGCTGATGACAGTCTCATCTTCCTCAATTCTAAAACCCAAAGTGCAGAATGGCTAAATGAAGTTCTCCATATCTATGCTGAGTGTTCGGGCCAAGCCGTGAACCGGGAGAAGAGCTCTATCTTGTTTAGTGCAAATACAGGACAATCACTTAGAGAAGAATTAGAAACTTCTCTGGGAATTTCCAAGGAAGCGTTTTCAGAATGCTACCTAGGATTACCTACCGCTGTTGGAAGAATAACCAGCGGCACCTTCTCTCATATTGTGGAGCGTGTGCGCGGCAAGATCAGTGGTTGGTCGGAAAGGAACCTAGCTTGTGCTGGCCGAGAGGTCTTATTGAAGTCCATTGCCCAAGCAATACCGACATACAGTATGAGTTGTTTCTTGCTGACAAAAAAAGTATGCAAGCAGATCACTTCACCAATGGCTCAATATTGGTGGGGTAGCTCCATTGACAGGCGATCCCTCCACTGGCTATCATGGAAGAAACTTACTGAGCCAAAGATCAAAGGAGGGATGGGCTTTAAAGATCCTGAACTTTTTAACCTTGCCATGCTTGGCAAGCAAGGTTGGAGACTGTTGACACACCCCAACAGTTTATGTGCACGGGTACTAAAAGGAAAATATTACCCAAACACTGATTTTCTGCATGCTACGGTTCCCGCTCGAGCTTCCTCTACGTGGAGAGCGATTGTGGCAGGGCGGAAAGCGCTGGACGTTGGTCTGATTCATAGGATTGGAGACGGTTCCTCTATTTCCATATGGGCCGATCAGTGGATCCCCAACACAATAAGTCTGAAACCTATGGGCCGAATTGGTTCTGCACCATTGCAAATGGTCTCGGACTTGATTGATGAATACACAGGAAACTGGAATGTGGACTTGGTCCGTCAAAATTTTCTTCACCCAGACGCGGAGACAATTCTAAATATCCCTTTGAATTTGGTGGGGGTGATGATACTTTGGCGTGGGCTTTGGAAAAATCAGGCCAGTACACTGTTAAATCAGCGTATCGCTCTCTAATGACTAGCAACGAGCTCAGCACTCTAGAGGAAGGGACGATTACGGATACTTCATCCTCAAATAAACAGTTATGGTCTGCTTTGTGGAAACTACATGTGGTACCCAAGGTGCAAGTGTTCTGGTGGAGGGCTCTTCGAGGTATCCTCCTGGACGCAGCAACGCTGAAGTACAGACATATTAAACCTTTAGGCCGATGCGATATCTGCCAGGCCATGGATGAAACGCTTATGCATGCACTCGTCTCGTGTACTCATGCTAAAGCGTTCTGGATCGCAGCCAAGGACCGATTCGACCTGAACCTCCCCAGATTGAATCCCTACACTTGGGCGCGCGACATATTGCTAGATAAGCAATTTTCAGCAGAAGACAGGTGCAAAATCATCACCATCATGCACTCCATTTGGTTGTCTCGTAATAGATGGACTCATGACAAAGAAGGTTATAACCCAGCCGAAGCTATCAAGTGGGTCCATGAGACCCTCTCCCTCTTGGAGCTTCTGGCTAGACGCTCAAAATCCACATCAACACAAGCCTGGTGTCCACCAGATGCGGGGTGGATTATCATCAACACTGACGGCTCAGTTCTGCCCGATGCCCTCTCCGCAGGAGCGGGTGGAGTTGCTCGCTCGCATCTTGCGTTCTTGGGAACATGGTGCAAGCCTCTGCTAGGAGTTTCAGACCCTTTCATCTCTGAGCTGCTGGCGTTTCGGGAGGGAGTAATCTTTGCTCAGCTTCGAGGATACTCACATGTGATTATATAGGTTGATTGCGAGGAGCTTATTAACCTCTGGAATACGCGCTCATCCACAAGATCAGTAGCGGCGCCTATCTTAAGAGAATTGGAAGCTATTTTACCTAGTTTTACTTCTTTTTCAGTTCGGCACATTAGTAGGGAGCTAAATTTTCCGGCTCATGAGTGTGCGCAACATGCGTGTTCTCTAGATGGGACGGAGAGCTGGCTAGTTCAGAGCCCTGATTTTCTGCACAGCTGCCTTCATGCAGATTGTAATCGTATGCTACTTCCCTGAGTAAAGCTCTCTTTTCGGTGCAAAAAAAATGATTATGGTAGATCGAGCGATGGATGATTCGATCGGGGAGCAGGACAAGAACATATGGAGTACTATCGTACTTCGCCTAGATGCTGATTTAATTTATTGTGTTGCAGGTGCACATGAATCTTGCGTGTCCCAACGGCCCGGTTAGGCAGCCCAGGCGCGGTCACATGTGTTCGTTGGTGTTGGTTCCGGCGCTCGCTGATTTCGCAGGGGCAAAAGGCGTTTGGTGGCCGTATTTGTTTACCCGATGAAGCGTGCCGGCTTCGTTGATGCTTGGCTCGAGCGGGAGAAAGGCCAAGAACGTGCCCGCCTCGCCTGCCGAGACCGAACTCCGCGCCGGAATGCCCCGTCCATCCAAATGCGACGCGATGGATGGTCCACGGACGGACAGCGGCACTGTTGCGCCATTGAGCGGCGGCGCAGGACGGCAGGAGGAGGAGGAGGAGCACGCTCTGTCTGTTCCCTGCGCCACAAGCAACAGCGCCGCTCCCAATTTATTTACCCGCTCCGAGATCTGCAGCCGCAGCAGCACAGTTCCCGATCTTAATTCCGCGCAGGCACATGCGGGGCCGACGCGGAAGGGGAAGGTCCCGGTCTCGGCTCTGACGCCTGCGAGATCGCGAGCGCTGCGACCGTACGCGGCGGGTTGCTGCTGCTGCTGGGTCTGCTTGCTCGGCTGCTTTGGCCTTTTCAGCTTTCAGCCTTGGGGGCCCGAGTCCCGGGTGAGTGCAGTTACTCCTAGTATTAGGTGTGACACAGGCCGCACAGACGCCACGGTTGTCGACTCGCTCATGTTTGAACGAGCGTGACCGTGTAGGTGTAGGTGCAGTTACTCCTAGTATTAGGAGTTTGTGGTCTCGACACGACCGGAGAAGATGACGGCAGTGGCAGTGCGCCCCTTCCATTAACGCCTTCGCGTGCGCCAAAACAATACTCCTAAACTCGTACTACTACTACTACTACGTACTACTTACTGTATGTCTGTATATACAAAATCTGCAAAGCCCGCAGCCCCACAGGTCAGTCGCTGCCGAGGCAAAGGAAGATCTCACGTGTCGCTGTTGGACCCAGTGGCTGGCTGTTTAAGGGCATGTACAATGGTGGCATATGGATACATATGCCCCATGACAAAAAGTAACTTGAGGCATCTACATTTATTTTTTCTCCCCAATGCAAGCTACCACTAGTGGGCCTCATTAAAAAATAGAAAATAAAGATTCTAGTACACATGCATCTCTACTTTTCACTCCAACCTTTTTAGCTTTTGTCACCGGACCACACCTTTTCTCTTCAAGCACCCGCTTCCCTATCCGAACCTACTTTACGTCATATCCGATCCTACATGGCATGCGAGGCATCACCTTGAGGCTATGCATTGTACATGCCCTAAGAGTAGCGCATGGCCGCGACACGATATTTGCCTTGGCTGGTGGGCCCGTGCAGTACAGGACGTTCCTTCCTAGTGCATGGGCGTCTCGGACTGCTCGGCTGCCCTCTCTTTCCGTTTCGTTTCGGAAGTTTCAGTGGCCATTTAGGAAAGCAGTAAAGACCAAGATGCGTTTTTTCTCTCCCTGCACGACTGCTATGCCTACGACTACGAGGACTCTCGGTTCTTCCTTCCGTTTACCCATGTTTTATAGGCCTCCTTTTCCGTTTCCGTTTCCGTTTCCGTTCGTCCGTTCGCAGTTGGAAGCCTCCCATCCCAACGAACGAAATACAAGAACATGACGCAAACATGATTGAATTCGCTTTGCGCGCACCCGTCGAATTTGTTCTCCACTAGCGACCTACTACGACTGATAAGAACTACTCCTACTACTAAAGCAGAAGGGGGCATAGGAGGGAATACAGTACAGTAGAGTAGTAGTTGGAGGGGAAACCCCTGCAGAAAGTGAAGATTTTATACCTAGCTTCCCGATTAAGAGATACCTTTCTCCTGCCATTACCGAACTTGCTTCATTCCCTCCCTTCCTTCCTACTGCCCGTCGCCCTCTGCAAAATGCCGTCCGCGCGCTAGCTACCAAAGTGGTTAGTCGCCAAGCCCCAGACCGATTCCTCCTCCCCGTGCCCGTGCCTTTGGCGTGCCGTGCCTGCACGTACGTCCACCGCCCGACTGCTTAGTGGCATGAAGGACCTGGTGTCGTGCTTCAGCGAGCACGCCGTCAGGATCTCCGACGTCGCCTGCTCCGGCTCCGCCGCCGCCAATGCGGCCGCGGCGGCCACGACGGGGACGGCCGACGGCGGGGGCAGGACGGCGGGGATCAGCGCGGTCACCACCGTGTACCGCTCGCGCCTCTCGGCGTCCGGCAAGGACCTGCTCGTCGACGTCACGTGGGCGCGCTCGCCGGACGGCCCCGCGCTCTCCGTCGCCGTCCACGACGCCGGCGCCCCGCGGCACCGGGCCGCCGCCGCCGCCGCCCCGCGCCACCTGCACAGGCGGAAGGGGAGCGGCACCTTCACCGCGGGCAGCTGCGTGGTGGGCGTCTTTTGGGACTACGCGGCGGCGCGGTACGGCGCGGGGCCCGAGCCCGTCTCCGGGTTCTACGTCGCCGTGGTCGCCGACGCCGAGTTCGTGCTCCTGCTCGGCGACATGAGCCGGGGCTACGTGGAGCGGCTGCACGGCGGGATACCGGTGGCCGAGTCGCGGATGGCGCGGCGGCGGGAGCGGTTCGTCGGGTGCGGGTGCTGGCACACCAGGGCGCGCTTCCTGGAGTCCGGCGCGGAGCACGAGATCGGCGTCGGGCTGGAGGGCGACACGGAGGCGTGGGTCACCGTGGACGGCCGGAAGGTGGTGCAGCTGCGGCGGCTGCGGTGGAACTTCCGCGGCAGCCACACCCTCATCCTGGACGGCGGCGCGCCGGTGGACATGACGTGGGACCTCCACGGCTGGCTCTTCCACGCGATCGACCCCTCCGCCTCCTCGTCCAGCGCCGTCTTCACGTTCCACGCGCGCGGCGCGTCGGAGACGAGGCTGTGGATGGACGACGACGACGGCGCCGCCAGCAGCAGCGGCGAAAGCGACAAGGAGCACGACAAGCCTCTGGCGCCGGCGCCGGCGCGCGGCCAGCGACAGAAGCAGGGGCCGTCAGGGCAGGGGTTCTGCCTGCTCATCCAGGGCTTCAGGAGATCCTCCAAGACCACCTGATCTGTACATTCCGCCACAGGATTTCTTCACCAATCCTTTTCGACTTCTTCTTGGTTTGTGTGCCTGGAAATGAAATTTAGGGTCGATGTACTTACTGATTGATGCTGGTTGTGAATTGATCCGATGCTTCACAGAATCACACGAGCGTGAAGCTGTGAATGGTAGGTAGACGTGCGTGGGGAGGTTCATGTTGACATAAGAAGGCGTTGGTTTTCCGTTTTTTGCTTGCTGATTTGATTGATACCTGACTGTGAATGTGTTGTGGATTCCAGAAATATACAAACAAAGGTTGCAACATTTTGTTTAAACCGTTTGCTCCTTTTCATTGCACATAGCCACAGCATTTTGTTTGAGCATGTTTGTATGGGTTGTGTAAGCTGATTTGCACCATTAAAACCGCAGTATTTGGGATGCTGACACGCAAGAGTGATAAACAAGCAAGTTAAGAAAACTTTATGGATATATCAAGCCGGGTGGAGATGGGGATAAAAACACTTTTTCTCCGCAATCCTTGTCATTCTCTAGCTTTGAGTAAACCGCGCACACAACCATAGACATCGCCGACGTCGATTGTGAGCTTTATAAACAAAACTTGTGTTTGACATATCAACTCTTCTTCTAATCTAAAATAAAATGGGGCCCCTCTCAATTATTCCGGGACATGACTGCCACTCTCACGAATCCGAGAGGTCCCAAAGAGAAGAAGCAAATGAAACATGGTCCAACCTTACGAGTGTGGAATTCTGAAATGAAACATTTGTGGGATTCTGAAAAACAAAACCAATAAGATATTATATCGATTGCAAAAAGACTTGGGGACGTTTATCCGATGCAATGATGGCATAAATTCAGGATTCGCTCGAAAACCAGAGTCGCTAGTGGCTATTCCTTCCTCCCTCTTGATCAAGATGAGCTTTGCTAATTTGTTGACCTACTGCTTGCCTTCGCTGTGGCCAACTTATGCCATTCACCTGCCTGCCAAAGGTCAACATGTTAGGCTAGTGAGAAGAGAACTAGCCCAACTAACCGGCCATTTATGGGATTCACAGTAGCACAAGAGTAACGGCTTCAGAAAAGCCTCCTAGTTTTAACCCTAGGTGTTTTCTTTGTTCCGCTCCGAAATGCTCGAAGTTCTAGATTTGTCCCAAGTAAAACATCTTAAAGTTTGGCAAGTCCATAAAAATTGTAACAACATCAAATTAGTTTCAAGTAGATTCATCATAAAATATATTCTCATACTTTATATAGTTGATGTTGTAGATGTTGACATGTTTTTTCTACAAACTTGCTCAAACTTAACAAATGTTCGACTTAGGACATGCTTAGAACTTCAAGTATTTTGGAACGGGAGGATTAGGATATTGCAACAGAAAAAACATGCACACAATAAATCTGTAGTTCCCGTACACGGAGGATACCTCTCAGCATCCAATGCCCAGTTGGAAAAGGGATGTACGTACTACTTAAGCTGGTATACATTATTGCTTTATAAAGCTGCTGATTCACGACAACAGTAGGTTGCGCAATACATCATCTTCAGACGTCAGCTCCTACGCTGAACTCACATGAACACAACAGACGCCATGGCCATCACGCAGAGGCAGTACATGTAGCTTCAATCAGGGCATGAGTGATTGGTTTACGCCAGCAGATTACATGTGGTCCAGGACACGTACAGGCAGCAATCTTCATCTTCCATTACTGCTGGGCGGCCACCATGCCTTCCTCTTCCTGAATACTAGAGGATAGCACCTGATGAACAAGACAATGATTCCAAATGAGGTACAAGGGTACAACCTAGAGTTGAATCTGTAATCAATGGTAAAAGCATAAGGAATCATGGAGGGAAATGCCGATTTGTCAGTGAGCAAAATGACAGCAGGGGCTCCTATCATATTTGAGCAGAAGCCTTGGTGTTTGTTCAGTGATCATGCCAAATGTTTGTCGGAGACAGGCGTGGAAGATGACAGTAACCGGTGCGAGTGATAAACATGCTGGAGCTTAAACATTATGGATTGCCAGGTCCGGTTGAGGTAAGGATCAATCCACTTTCTCCATAATGCTGCACAGATGTTGTCACTTTTTCAAGGAAATCACGCAAAGCATTAACCATCACAGATGTTGATTGCTCATTCTGTAAGAATACAGCTTAAGTTTGACTGATCAACTACTGTTGTAAAATGGGCTTATATGCGTTATACCACATAGTACACAATCTATGACATTATCAATTTACCAGTACAAAGAAATGTGCAGGCTTGAGAGTGGTCATTTCAACAAAATAGAACAAACCAAATAAAACTTTGTTCATTCCAGGCATATTGGACTGGCTTTAATCACGTCCGATTTATTTGCCCAGACATGTCCATATATTTTGTTCATGCACTGGTTCCAGAAAGGTATGAAATTTATACATGTTTTGTCAATTCTATAAGTAATTTTAAAAAATGTCGAAGTTAGGGCTTGTAAGGCACCCTGGTGTTGCAGTCCCCAGAGCTGTTCGTCTCTCTCGATCACCTCTTTCTTGATCATGATAGCCTTGCTAATTTGTTCAGCTACTAGCCCTAACCATGCCAAGAACTTTATGAAAACCTGCTTAGCAATGCAACTTTACCTGCCTGCTAGGTCAGCATGTTAGGTTAGTGAAAACTAGCGACCTAGTCAGCCATTTATGGTATGACTGACACAAGAGTACCCACATTAGAAAGGTCTCCAATTTGATTGTGGATGGTTTATTTCACCGTCACAGATGATTGCAAATGGACACCTCTGGGTGGCCCGCTTTAAATTGCAACAGCCAAAACACACACACAATTAAGTGGTAATTCCAGGACATGGATGATACCTCCCAGCATCCGATATCCAATCATCCATGGAACACATAAGAAGCTTACTTGTTCGAGTGCCCGAGAGACAGGAGTGTGCTTCAGTTGGTAATCCACGCGAACAGGACAGAGGTAGGTTGCAAAATACATCATCTGCAGACGCCAGGCCGTCTGTTGAAGCTTCACATGGACGGAACAGAAGTCATGAGGCAGTACCTGTAACTCAAATCAGAACATGAGTCATGCAAGCAGATTACTTGTGGTCCAGGAAACGTACACCAATCTTCTTCCATTACTGTCGGGCAACCATATGCCTTTCCTGATAGATGGTGGCAAGATGGACGAACGTCTGAGAGCTACAACGCTTTCAAGATGACAACAAAATATAAATCGCGTACTGAACAAGACAATTATTTGAGAGGAGGTACAAGGGTACAGACTAGAATTGAATTTGGAATCAATGAAGAAAATGAATTCACTGTTGAGTATCAAATCAATGAAGAAATTGTATCCCCTTCCCCGTGCTTCCTGTCTTCTGATTGTCATCATTAGATCATCCGTACTATGACATTAAATCGACATGAAAAGAAGAACCAGTGAGGAAAATGATAACTCGGGCTTGAATCATGGTTCAGTGATATCACAAATACTTGTTTAAGAAGATAGTCACATATTAGCCTTCAACTCAAAAAAGTAGAAAATATATGCCATCGAACTATATCACTATACAAAAACTTGATGCTGGAATACAATAATCAGGAAAAAGGAAAGCCTTCTGCTGCACTGCTAAATTAACATTGAACTAAACAAGTAATTGCATAAAAACTACAAATGACCTTCTTGATGATCTTTAGAAAGGCAAGCAGGGATGGCACCAAGGTAAGAAAAACAAAACAATGTTAGAATACATGCCGCATGATTTCTTATTCCAACTTCCAAGTCTCTATTTGGAAGAAGTGTGATGTTACTCCCCATCAAAGAACAGATGATTAGTCACATTGATGGTATGCTTAGTCCGGCTCAGTCACCTAAGTTAACGACGATTTTAGAATAGAGAAATATTGACTTCATCAAACACCAGTTTATTCACAATGGAAAATAAATAGGCCCAACTATACTTGGATGGACATGATGGTTTCTGAAGCAAAAGGGCATCTGAAGGTGGCAGCAGAATGCACTTGCAGTATGACTTCGGAAGCAAAAGGGCGTTCTTAAGGTTGCAGCAGTATGCACTTGCAGTATGATTTCTGAAGCAAAAGGGTGTTCTTAAGGTTGCAGCAGTATGTGCTTACAGTTCGAGAACCAGCTTGCTGCCATATTTCCTTTGCAAAAGGGCATTGAAGGAACAGGTCAGAAGCTGATTCCATAGTTTGATCGCAGGTAAAACAATTGGCATGATGATCCCATCCTCGAAAATTGCAGGGAGCGCTCGTCCTCGCCTGCACACTTTATCTCCGCTGCATGTTTCATCTGTGGATCTGAACTAGCAGGAGTATACTATTAATGTTAGGAGTCATGGGGCCAATTGCACAGTACAAGGCCATGTGAGACCATCCCGGTACAGGTTACTCATGCCATCAAGTACCGTTTGCCCACAAGGAAAGTTTCTCACGTAGGTGACGAGCGTGCGTGAGTTTGCTCAAAAACAGAAAAAAGGTGACGAGCGTGAAGCATATATGAAGTCTCCATTGATGCATCAGCTTGAAACTGGATTGCACGTATCATTATTCTTTTTTTGAGTTGGATATATCATTAATTCATTATGAATGAATGGCGGAAGTATGATTTGTATTGTTCTTTTTTCTATTGATGGTTCAATGCTTCGTAAACCATTCTGAAAACAAATTCTCCATTTAACAGGAACAAATCTTCATCGTTGTGAAAATATTCTCGTGTACTTTACAACATTATTTACTAATTCTAACCAGAAAATAATTAACAATGTCTATCCAACTCTTATGCCATTATTTTACGTGAAGAATTATAAGAACTTTTCCGTTTGATTGATTCGTATCTATTTTGAGTTTAATTTTATTGATGTGCAACAAGTCGTCTGGCTGAGCAACTGAAGTTGCATGTCTGTGTCCGGACACATTATAGCACACAAATAATAAACTTTTAATGCATAATGATTATTTTTTAAAATGCACAGCGGATATATTTTCGTACACTATG